AATTCTTCTCTAAGATAAATATAATAATAACTAATAACTAATAAAATACAAATATCAAAATAATAAAATAATACTAATATAAAATAATAACTAATAAAATAAAACTGTTCTATAACATCACTATTATTAATCACATCTTTCATATTATAATGTGTTCTAGGTGATATTGTAGTTAATTCTATATTATTTAAGTCATCCTTCAATATTAAACAAGAATAACAAGGTTTGTTTGACGTAGATGGCTGGTAAGTGTTAGTCATCTTTTTTGCTTCAAGTAAATCAGCTATTATTATTGAAATTCGTGGTATAAATGTAATTATATTACCACGAATAACAAAGTTAAACTCTGGATTATTAGCAATAGGTTTTAATAAGAGTTTTAGACATGTATGAAAAACTTCACTTTGTAGTTTTCGAAATTCTTCAGAGTTTTTTGTCTTTAATTTTTAGCCTTCAAGATAGGTAGGTATCTAATTGAAGCTTTAGATTCTGGTTTGTTTCGCATGGAATATGGAATGTTACCTAGAGATAAAAATATAGAATGTCTGGAAGACTTTTCTATATGGTCTAGGTTTGGTGTATCAGAGTAAGGAATTATCGATAATAATTGCTATCTAACGAGTAATGATGATTTTTCACGTTTTTACCAGTTAGAATTATATTGTTCTTCAAAAATATAGGACTTTCTATTATTTATTTCCCGTTTATCTTCAAAGTTAAGTACTAATGCCTTATTAATACTATCGATCATTAATAAGACTTAATAGTCTTAATTAATGATTGATAGTAAAATGTATACCTAATACCTTGAATTGTTGTAATGGGAACTTCTTTGAACTCTATATAAGTAATAGGTGAGTTATCTAGAAATTCTTTTCCAATTTTTGTTGATAAAGGAAGTGGTAAAATTTCCAAATTGGAATATTTATTAAAAAGTTTTATAATAGCATTGCCGGCTGTATTAGATATATAGTACTTATTAATTATTCTCATAAAATCACGATAAGCATCGTTTGGCCATTCTACAGTTTCTGGATGTTGTAGATCATTATAAGCATCATCTAATGATGCACTATTATAATCTTCTAGATCAATGTCATTAAATTCTATTTGAAATAATTTATTTTCCTTATAGAAAGACTCAGAATCTGACAAAAGATCCTCTATTTCCATATCTAAATAAGATGATTCAGACATGTCTTCATTCTAAATATATAGATTAATAGATAATGTTTTATAACTTATACTAACAAAAATCAAAAATTAAATATGCTGAATAGCAATCGACTAAAATCGATTATCATCCAACATGTTTAATTTTTAATTTAATCAATATTAATAACAAATTTACTTCATTAAAGTTATCTTCTATTTCTATAGAAGAATCTATTCCGGGTGTAGGTGATGTTGAGGTAACTTCATTCTATATTAATATAATTGTTTAATTACGGTTTCAATTATTATTAACAAATTGTGACTAATTTACTCTGTATATTTTAGAATCATTCGAATCATGTTCTGAAAATGAATAATAACTAGAACTATAATCCGGAAGATTCCAAATGTCATTATCTACTTGTTCAACAGATTGATTTGTCATATCTTGGAGGTAGGGGTGTCTTTGTGAAATATGTTGTGTTAAAGCATATGATTTGAAAAATTCACTATTACAATGCTCACACTGCCAACGCATATTAGAAAAATAAAAAAAAAGGAATAATAAAAGCGAAAAAGAAATAAAGTATAGCTTTGGATTTAAAGAGATAAAGAACAATAAATATAGAATAAAAGAGAAAGGAAGATGAAAGCAAATGAAAAAATAAAGAAATATATTAATTGTGAAGAATTAAAATTAGAAATTATAATAAAAGAAGCTAAAGAATATAGCAGGAAGCAACGATTTGAAGATAATTTAGACGATTATAAATGATTTAAATCGATTTTAAGCGATTTTTTAATCAGAATTAGAAATCATAATAAAAAAAAACTAAAGAATATAGCAGGAAGCAACGATTAAAATATAATTTCAAACGATATAAATTGATTTTAAGCGATTCTTTAATCAGGATTAAAAATAGTAAAAGAAACTAAAGAGTGTAACGGGAAGCACCAATTAGAATATAATTTAGATGATTTTAAATGATATAAATCGATTTTAAGTGATTCTTTAATCAGAATTAAAAAATAGTAATAAAAGAAACTAAAGAATGTAACAGAAAGCAACGATTTGAATATAATTTAGACGATTTTAACGATATATTTCGATTTTAAGCGATTCTTTTTCTTCAATCAAAACAAAGCATAATAATTATTAATATGATGTAGCTTTATAATAAAAAAACTAGCGCTATATTACATCTGATATTATTTTAATAAGCTTTCGAATTGCAGAAACTCAGAAATTGTTAGTACGCGTATAATGATAGTAAATTGTCATTATACGTAAAATGACAAAAACAATAAATGAAATAAGTATATTTCACTTATTTATTTTTTTGATTATAGCATCATTTTATTAATTTTATTACTTAATCGTTAGATATAATAAATCATTATTATATGTATATTGACAAAAATATAAGTATATATTCATTTTTTTCTATATAATAATCAATACTGTCATATATTAATTCTTGCTTTTTATTCTTAGATACAATAAATTGTCATCATACATATGTAGACAAAAAATAAAATAAGTACATATTCGCTTTTTTTCTATATAATGACTAACATCATTGTCTCTACTCTTATTATTTCATTCTTAGATATCATATACGTATAAATATAGCCATTCTTACTTTTAAAAAGGTAAAGACATTTTTGGGGGTTTTTTTTTTAAAAATTTTTTACAATGAATAACACTTCTAATAATGCTTCTAACGATAATACTCCCAACAACACTTCTAATAATGCTTCTAACAATAATACTCCCAATAATACTTCTAATAATACGTCTATCAAAAATATTTCTAATAATGCTTCTAACTCTTCTAATAATGCTTCAAACATTTCTAACAACAATTTACCTTCTACCGATGCTTTACCACCTCTTACCTATTTGCTTAACACCATTTTCCCTCCTACCAATAACATACTTTTTCCTTATTCCTCTGTACCTATCAATACAACTTGATACTAATTGATTACTTCTCATTCATCTCAAAATATCGCTGACCCACACCAACCATGTAATACTTATGATGATGATTCAGCTTCGGATT